ATACCACTGATATTGATGTCCTCAGCTGCTTCTTCCAGGTAGAGAAATGCCCTGCACAAACAAGGTGCCATTCATCACCCGCAGACGAATGCTCTGTGCTCACAAACCCAAGCAGAACTAGTATGTTCAATTCAAGTACTATGGCCAAGTGCTGTCCTTCATTCCACAAACAGGCTGAGTATGTCTTCAGCTGGCCTGCTGCTTAAAACTGGGCTCTCATGTGTCAACCAGCTCACACATCAGTGCCAAGCCAGGCTCAGTCTGTTGTGCTTCTGCCTGGAAACAGTGCCCAGGGCCATTTTCAGTATTTGCTCAAAAATGCTGGAGATCTTCCACTGATCTAGAAGTTCTCAAAGCCCCCAAGAACTTCATAGTCGATTAATCATCTAAAAATCATCTTGATAAGTAGCCTCTGTCAAGACAACTTCTTAATGCCACATTCCTCTGGCAAAATGTCACTAACAGTACCTTCTGTTAACACAGAGATCAGAGACGATCTGAAAACAAGACCGCTGGGAGACATTCTGACAAAGATGATAGGTAATGTCGTAAAAATCTCATTTGTTTCAAGTTATTCATCTGCTTTTCATCCACAGCATCCATGTTTTGGGGCTCACCAGAACAAATGACAGAGCGGGTGCTTCTCAGCTGGCAGATGAGGGGAAGCCTCATGCCATGCAGGCCCTGATGTCCTCACCAGCCATAGTCCTCCTGTTCTTAGACAATCAGGACTTGGTGTGTTTTGTTTTGTTTGAGACATATCTGACCTTACCATCAGTTTTTCATCATTACAGAAACAGCCCAGGAAGACCAAGTTTGGATGTTTGGATGACCAGATGGTAACAAGGGCAAGAAAGTGCCTAAAACAAGTTTGTTTTTGCCACTTCTCAGTGTGCCAGGTGCAGGATTGCACCTCAAATACAGGATGGGCACCTGCAGGAAGATGGGACTGGGATGATCCAGAAGAAGAGGCTGCCAGCCTCCACCACAACCACACATCAATTTTAAATGCACCCTCACTGAATACAGCCACTGACTAAAATGACATTTGATTGTGACCGCAGCCCAAAGAATGCCTTTCCACACCAGGTATCCCTTCTGTCCTTGTCAGAAGCCAACTAGCAGCTCGGTGACTGTGTCTGAAGCACTAAGAGAAGTCTGGAAAGGACTTGCTGGGTCTTCAGGGTCAGTTCTCAGCTGCTGGGGGCAACTGCATCAGGATAAGGCAGCTCTGGGAGGATGATCGGAGCCTCAGAAGTGGAGCTGTTGGAAACTCTGATGTTCTCATGTTTCAGCCCAGACTCTTCATAGCCACCGGATACTTGTATGCTCTTACACTACCATCACCCTTGCTCTTAATGGAGATGTGTTTACTTCTTATTCCCTGAAGTTTTGTTGAGAGCAATTATTTCCCTTCTTGGCATTCAGGTCTTTTGGCTAGACAAATTATGTCCAAATCTTTACAAAAGCAAAGCTATGGATTACCCTGTCATTGTCCTCCAGTCACATTTTAAGTTTGTCTCCTTTCAATAACATGACCAAAGCTGCACTCCTAATTCCAGAGAATGTTGCAGTAGAGCTTTGTATCATGGTACTAATATTTTCCCCTTCCTTTGGAAATATCTCAATTGATACGTGCTTTTTGTCAGACTGCTTCATCTTGGGAGTTCTCAGTCATCTTGAGATCAGCAAATACACCCAGATTTTTCTCTTCTTCTGTCATTTCCAACAAGCTTGCAGCAGAGATTCTTGTTCACACTTCCCAAGCACATGACCATGTACTTTCCACTATTAAATTTCATCCCCTTTCTGATGTGCCAGCACTCAGTGTTACCCAGCTCATCCAGAAGTACAGACATCCCTCTGTGCTGATAGTGCTTCCCAACCTTGTGCCATCAGCAAATGCCATCAGCTCACTCCTACCTTTTGTTCCACGACCTGTCCGAGAAATATTGTGTGAGATGCAAAAAATGTAAGTCAGCCTGATGGTCCCTGCAGTCCGATGCTCCATCTCAGAGAGAAGCAACCAGAGATGTGCACAAGAGCTCAGCCACTGCCTCTGAGCTTTTCCCCTGGCTCCCCACACATTCACACATTGCATGTTTGAGGTGACATCTCTACTTTTTCCATTTTGCAATTTCTACCCAAACTGTTGCCATCTCTCTGTAGCTATCTTCTCACCTACCAAATCGCTCTCCAGATAAACAATACGTTTGCAGTGTTGCACTGTATTCAATATTCTATTAAATCCAGTTGGATGAAACCTGATGTAAATTAAATGCCTAGAAAAATATTGTTGAAGAAAACTGCCAATTTCATGTAACCTATCTTTAGTAAAACTACATTATATTTTACTTCATTTTCTACTTACACACCTGTCCCCGACTACTTCTTCCCTTACATTTACTTCTAATGCATCTAAAGTTCTTGAGGTCAGTCAAACAGGGGTGTAAATGACTGAGTTGTTCTTCTTCCTCCTGTTTAAAACCAGGCAGTGCTTCGGTAGCTCCTCAGTAAGTCCTTACTACCCTGACAAATTCAAAACTTTGTATTGGATAAGTGAGGATATGCTCCAGGTTTGCCAGAAGTGTGGGTTTGGGGATGCCTTGTTCCCTAAGCTGCACATTAGGCCTTCATGAGCACTGCTCTCCCTTTGGGTGCAGTAATTTTCATTTCCAGAAAGTAATTCACATTAGCTATCACCCTTTGCCCTGATCCCTGATCATAGAAAACAGAACTAAAAGTCATTTAACACGAGGTCATACATAACATTAAAAAAAAAATAAAGTGGAACACAAAATGGAGAGAATCTGAACACAAGACTTAGGGACTCTCCAAGCAATCTGTGCAGTGCCATGGAAGACAATCTGTGTCACTGAAATAAGTAGCAGGGAGCATGTAGCTTTCCCTCAGTCCTTGCTGTCACTGCAATGGCACTCCAGCTTGCTCCCCTCCCTAAATACAGACAGTGCAACCAGCAGGGTCTCCAGGATTCAGTTTTCTGAAGTAGGTCACATTTGATCTCCTTCCAAGCACACTGCAGAAGCAACTGCTTAACAGGGAGCTTTCAAAATTCATATTCTGCTTCCTGATGCTGTCAACACCTGCCCTTCAGAAATACAGCTATACTGGCAGAACAGTTTTTCATTGCATTTGGGTGTAAACAGGCCAGGAATCCTGTTTTTCCCTTCAGTTACCTGTATTTCTTCTAAATTTCCTCAGAAGGTACATATTGACTTTCAGACCACATTTGCATTCAGATGATGGCTTGTTGTTGGAAAAAATCCCCTCAGAGGGGCTCATTAACTTCCTTTCAAATGTTTACTGTCCCTGACCAAGAGAGCTAACTAGCAAACAACTCACTGTGTGGCTTCTATCTGAGCTTAAAGACACGGGATCCTGTATTTTGTGTTGTTCATTCTAATGCCACTTCCAGCTTCAGCATGGCTTAATGACAGACCGGAGTCCATCTGCTACAATGACTAGCCTTGGACTCAGAGGGAGAGTCCTGCGGATAATTTAGGAGCACATTTTATAGTTAGTATAACTTCATTCCAGACCAAGGCAAACACGAGCAGGTGGAAATCTCTCTCAAAAGCGCAACCTGACCTACATAGTGCATTGTAAACTAAAGAGATGTATAAAAATAAAGCATTAACAATCCATCACGTTTGCAACAAGACCCAGATACGGTCCTGCAGCCGCTCCCTGCCACCTGCACATGGCTGCCATTCGCCCCCCAGCTCTGCAGTGCCCTTATGCCTCTCTGCACCCTTGTCCCTTTTGCTTTATCTCTTTTCTCCCCACTACCATGCACTTCCTGGCTCTCGCACTGCTTGCTGGCTCGCTGTTCTCCATTACCTCATGGAGGAGCTGCGAGCCGCTCTTGGCCAGCACATTTATGGACAGCAAGGGGCCACACGCGTCCTTATAGCCAAGCCCCGGAATGCCACAGAAGCAAAGTAAGGCACGGGCTGGCATGCAGGCACTGGGTTTCCAGTTGGATGTGTAGTTCTTCCAAGAGCTTTTGGAGAACTCCTGAGGCAGGCGTTGGGGTTCGGATCACCATGGCTCCTCATTGCCCCAAGGCAGCTGCGTTCACCTCGGGGGGCTCAGTCACCTTTTGGGGCTCAGTCACTTCACAGGGCTCAGTCACCTTTTGGGGCTCAGTCACTTCATGGGGCTCAGTCACCTCACGGGTATCAGCCGGCTCAGGGCTGGGTCATTATCAGTGGGCTTGGCCACCTCAGGGGGCACAGTGGGCACAGGGTTTGTCTACCACAGGGGTCATTGGCCATCTTAGGGCTCAGCCACCTCATGGGGATCAGCCACCTCATGGGGATCAGTTAACTCAGTGTGTGGCCACCCCAGGGGGCACAGTCACCTCAGGGCTTGGCCACCTCGGGAATCACAGCCATCTTAGGGCTCAGCCACCTCGAAGGGCTCAGCCACCTCAGAGCTCAGCCACCTCAGTCGGGGCTCAGTCACTCACGGGGATCAGTTAACTCAGTGTGTGGCCACCTCAGGGGGCTCAGCCACCTCAGGGCTTGGCCACCTCGGGAATCATGGCCATCTTAGGGCTCAGCCACCTCAGGGATCACAGCCATCTTAAGGCTTGGCTACCTCAGGGGGGGCTCAGCCACCTCATGGGGATGCGATAACTCAGTGTGTGGCCACCTCAGGGGGCTCGGCCACCTCAGGGCTCGGCCACCTCAGGGGTCACGGCCATCTTAGGGCTCGGCCACCTGATGGGGATGAGCCAGCTTAGGGCTTGGTCATTTTCAGTGGGCTCAGCCACCTCAGTTGGGGCTCAGTCAGCTCACGGGGCTCAGGGCACTCAAAACTCGGCCACCTCAGAGCTCCCATCCACACGACGCCCTCCCGCCCCACAGGGTTATAAAAGGGAAAGAGGCGGGCTGCTCCTTCCCTCCAGGAGGGGCCGAAGAGGGGCGGCCGCCAGCCGCGTCACCTGACAGGAGGCGGCCGGTTCCGCCCCTTGGCAGAGAGGGAAGGGAAGGGAGGCGGTGTCGGGGGCGCGCTCGCCTCGCCGTGCCCGCGTCCCGTGCGGCCGCCATGTTGTGCTGAAGAGCGGCGGCGGCGGCAGCCAGGAGCCCGGCGACCCCGGCTCAAGGCAGGAGGCCGCGCCCCGGGACGGGGTGTGGGGGCTCCGCGCCATGCCCGGCCCTGAGGTGAGGAGCCGGCGGGGGTCTGCGGAAGGGTTCGGCGCCGCGCGGGGGGATGAAGCGGGCCGGGGCCTGGCGGAGGGCGGCCGGGCTGTCAGGGAGGGCCGCGGCCCGGCACGCCCCCTCAGCTGGGGCGGCGGTGGTCCGGCTGCGCCGCGCTGCGTCCCCTCGGCCGGCGGTGAGGGGCTCGGCCTCCTCTTCCTCCACCTCCTCCTCCTCCTTCCCGCGGGGCCCGGCGGCCTCACGAAGGTGACGGTGCAGGGCCGCTGCTCCGGCCGTGCCCCGTGGCTGCCCGTGTCCCGGCCTTATGTGCGGCTGTACGGGTCGGTGTGCCCGCTGCCTTATAACGGGGTTGTTGGGGCTTTTCGGTTACGTACGGTGTGTGGGGGCTTTAATCGTGCCTCTTTCCCGTGTTGTTCTTAACAGTCCCGTTCCTCTGGTGGGATCTGAGCAGATGTTGCCCTTCTCTGGTGAGTACTGTTTTGTGCCAAGCCTCCTGACCCCGAGCCGTGTTGAAGTTTTTGTATTTTAAGGGATTTGCACTGTAGTTGCGTTGTCCCTCCTTTTAGGGAATGCTGCTTCACCAACAGCTGAGCCCTCACATTCCTTTACGTCTCTCTGTAGAAGGATCATTATGGTCCTTTTCTAGCCAGACCATTCTATGGTTTGTCCTTTCCATGCACCCCTCCCTTACTGTTGTGAGGGCTGGGCACGAGCTTGTGCCTCACGCAGACTGAACATCTGGTACCTGCTTCTTTCTGAGCGCTTCACCTGCCTGTTTTCTTGTGTGACGAGCCCGTGTTGCTGTGTGCAGTGAAGCTTTTTCTTTGAGGAGATTGTCTAGAGGATCATGCGGAGTAGTGTGGAGCGATGCTTGACTTTATAGTGGGAATAAAGGAATATTTTTATTGCCTCATCAGCAGGGGATGGTAGTGTGACTGAGGGAGCTGTGGCAGGTTTTGCGCAATACCTGTCAGGTTTGAGGCTTTAGATAGAGGGCTGAGGTGTGTCTGGCCTGTCAGTAAAGCGTGTGTTGTAGTACTGAAAATCTTTCTTGGTAGAGGATGAAGGGGAACTCATACAATAGAGCTTATAGATAGAGATGTGACATCTGGTATCTGTGTTACTTTGGTGTTAGTGATCACAGTGGTTTTAGAAGATAGAACAAGTGCTTTCTTCTGTAGTACAGGAATTGCTGTGAACTCAGAGTGTTGAAATCTTTGTCAGATAAGTAAAGGTGGGGCATGGGCTTCTGAAATGCTTCACTAAGAAGTTTGTGTGCTTGCTTTGGAGTTGGGGGAGAGGCAGATGTGCAGGAAAAATGTTAAACAGTGGGGTTTTTTGGTAACTGTGCCAAAAGGTGCTCTTGTCTTACCTCAAGTCCTAAAGATTATAGGAGTGATATCTTGAGACAAGCTAGTTTTCTGGCTGGTAGTATTATTGGTGCCTATTTAGGAATTTGCTACTGTCCATTGCTTTTCATTGTCTGAACTAGAAATTAGCCAAGTGTTAGCCTGCTTAAGAAACCAAAGGCAAGGTCAGCTTGATAAGCTCTTGATTTTCTATCAGAATGGCTGTCTGCACCTGAAGGAGATAGAAGTACAGCGTGTCCAAGCTTCCAAAGGTAGAGAGTACAGTACTTTATCTGAGATCTCGTTCCACCTACGTGCTGCACAGGATGATGAAGTATGTTGTCAGCCCTACAGGAGTAGGAGGTCTGAGCAGTGCTTGGCTGCCAGTTAATGTGTCCAAGTGGAGTACCTTAAGGAGAAAAGTATCAGTAGGCTGCCCGAGAATTGGGAAGGAGTCTGACAAGTCTGCTGGAGTGCAAGGAAGGAGTAATTGTCTCTGGAGCAAATTGGAGGTACTGGGTTAGCATCTAGCACGTAATCTGGGATCTCTTCACCTACAAATGATAAGAGGTGGTGATGGCAGTTCCTGTTCTGGTAGCTCCCCATGGGGGTGTGTAGCTGGGTATAATCATGGGGCTCTTCTATTTGATGTCAGTTGTCTGTCAGAGCCTGTGACTGCAAATAGTACAGTAGTGCTTCACAAATATTGTGAACTAGAATGAAAATCTCAGATACTTGAATATGATCTTATTTCATAGCTGCTTTTATTGATCACATCAAATAATAGAAGTTGTTTCTTTCAAGATGAGCTTCCAAGCACTACATTGTCTGAGTCTGTTCTTTGCCATAACGTGCAACTGTTCTGCACGTTGCACTACCAGCTACCCAGCTGAGGTAGCTGGTAGTGTAAAGATCTGCATGTTAGTTCCCATATGGGTTTTGTGTCTCTGGGACATGAGCTTCCTTTGTAATTCTATCCTTCTAGATATTAGTGCCATAACTTTGCAGTGCTTTTAGGAAAGCTTTGGGAATATGCCTAACATGCAGATCATTCTTGTGATTAACAGAGTTCTTAAAGACAACCGTTCCTTTATCTTTGTGAAGCCTTGAGATCATCTGGTTTGCATGAAAGATCTAATAGGGAATTTAGTGCTAATTTAGGATTTGAAATACAGGCTTATTGAAGAGTCAATAAAGAATTGAAGACCTTGACTTGCAGTGTTATTACTTGTACCTTGGATGCATTAGTCCCAAGTTAGGTGGGATTACAGAATCACCAAGGTTGGAAAAGACTTTCAAGATCATCCAGTCCAGTTATCCACCTATCACCAATAGTACTCACTAAATCATGTCCTTCAACACAAAATTCAAACATTCCTTGAATGTTACCATGCCCAAATGGGTGTTTTGACTGGTACAGGTGCCAGTGTCTGCTGTTTGTGGGATGGACAAAGTTACAAGCTACAACATCATTTGGTGTCAACTGCTCTTGTTCAGATTGTGTTTGATAACAAAAACAGCCAAGACTTTGTCCCCTCCCTTTGGGGTGAATAGCTGAGAACTACTGACAGAATGTGTTTGGTGTTACAGGATGCTGGTTGTTAGCTAGAGCTGTGAGTGGCCTGGCTCTGTTCTTTCCTTAGCTGTTTAATAACTTCTGGTGCTGATGTAATGGAGTTGAACACCAGCTGTTGTGATTCCAGGAGGTCATTTTATGCTGTAAGGAAGTCCTCAATTCAGTTGAGTGGAGCTGGGGGAGAAAATCAACCAGTAGTAGCAGAGGAAGAGAGGAGTGCAGCATTATCCTGTAGAAACCAGTGGTGCTGTTTGTCTTTAGTCTGTTCTGGAGTGTGTCTGGGGTATGTTGGTGGTATGAACTGGGGGTGCTCTGCTCACGTGCTGTGGAATGATGGAGCTGCAGCCGTGCGAAGGGAGCTCAAGAAAAAGAGCAAAGCTGAAGGTTTTTTGTGATGTTGAGATAAATGCGTTATTTCTGGAGTCATCAGTGTTCTTCAAAAAACACTGTTTATAAAAGATTCATTTAAAATATAATTACTGATATCTAGCTTTGACTAATCTTCTGTCTGGGAGTCATAAAGTTCAGGAAGCGGCTGTTGGTTTGATGTGCATCTGATAGCAAGTTAACTGGACAGGTGCTCCCCAGGTCTTACTGGGAAGAACAGAATATCTGGGGGGCAGTGATCTTCTGTGTGGGAGTTAATGCTGAAAATACACGATGGAGCTCATGAGAGGCAAGGGGCCTGTGAGTTCCTGAGGGTGGCCTAGAATTTGGTGGATGTGTAGGAAAGGTGATACAGATGTGTTTTAATAAAGAGCTTGAGCGTTCTTCTCCTTTGTGGACCAACACATAGATGTCAAAGTTCATAAAGTACTGTTCTTTTCATCATCTTCTGGCTGAGCTTTAAAATAAGAAGCTGTGATTGCACTTTTAGTTCTGTTACAGGAAATACCTATTTAAATGCTCTTTTCTCCTGCTGGATTGGGTCTTGGCCTGACCAGTGTAACTATTAGAGCCTGCAAGGCTGAGGCAAGGTTTGGGTGCTATTTCTTGAACTGGGGCAGTTGTGCAGATGCACACAGACACATAGCAAACTCAAGGCTGGTAGTACTTGGGAAATGTTGGATGTATTGAGATTTTTTGGCTTGTTTTAATTTCAGAAGTAAGTTATTTACTGGTGCTATCTCTAGCAGATGGGCAAGGTTTACCCTGTCAGGTCCTGCTTTCTTTAGGCATTAGTGGGAAAAGAATTTAAAAAGATACTTTTAACTGTATCCTACTTTTCATAGAGGCAACATTGTCTAAATAACTTACTACATATATCCAATTCTCCATGCTGTGTGTACAGTATCCACTTGGCTAAGGCTTCTACCAAGAGCCTCCTTTCTTGAGGCCTTGGCCTATTTTAAGAATGTGGGAAGGTTTTTCGTATGAGAAAACTAGTGAAAAGCTATACACTGTGGTTTAACTGAGCTTTCTGAAAATAAAATGCCTTGAAGTAGAGAACTCCATCTAAGATGTCTGTCTGTAGGATATTTCTTGTATGTACAAGTCTAAGCATTCTCTCTGAGCCAAATATCTGATTGTTCTGGTGCAGTACAAACTTTAGTTCCTAGAATGTAATCAATATTGAGGTAGGTGATGCACTTCAGGTTTTGTGGAGGAAGACTGTTGCATTGCCTTAATTAAATCTGTATCCTGAGCATTACTTCTGCATTGCTACCTGAAATGAGAACAGTTTTTCCTCTCTTTTCCTATGTGTGTAGAGTTTGGCTTCAACATCAGCAGGGTAGAGGGAGGTTCTAGGTGTCATGAAACTTTTCTCTCTAGTGCTGCTTTCTACTCTTGCGTGAGCCCCTGGGGAAAGCTGCTTCTTGCTGCCTTTTCAAGAGGAGGACAAATGCATGTCTGCATGCTGCAAAGCATAGCTGGTAACTAAGAGTCTTGTCTGAAGACCAGCTGCATTTGGTTGGCTTTCTGAAGCTGCCTTGGAGCATGGAGCAGGAGGCAGGACTTGCCTGGGGGCATGGCTCATTTGCTGTCTCCCCAGCTCACTACTTCATATCACCCAGAATAAATCATAAGCCTTCCAAGTCCTATGAGAATGACTCTTCAGTTTCATCCAGCTTGTCTGTAAGCAAGTTTATTTTTTTGTACAGCTGTAGAGCTGCAGTCAGGCTTTTGGGAAATAGATGGAAAGATCTGATCTACACCTACCTTAACTGTTGAGTCTTAAAGTATTACTATCCTAAAGCAGATTCTACATGGATAAAATAACTGAGTATTTCTGAAATGAAGCTGTAGTCGTGGTGTAGAAGCAATCAGAATGATCCTGTCTACTAGTTGATCTACTGCTGATCTGGTATGACTTATGCTACCACTACCAGCATTCAACATGACTGTTAAGCTGCTCAGGGAAGTGGTTGTGCATGAGTTTGAGATTAGAAAGTGTTTCTTTGGAATTTGCTAGTTAGGCTGGGGGACCAGTAGCCTGACTCCTTGCTCTCCTGCAAGTAGACCATGAAAGGGAGTCAGCTTGTTGCTGTGGCTGCCTAATTTCATTTCTTGCAGCCATAATTGAAATAAATGTGTACCTGGG